CAGGTTGTAATTTCAAATCCTCTTAAATGGCCCATTAGTCCGTTTAAAGTTTAAACAAAAATAGCTTTTCCAGCCCACATTGGCTTCTTATTATAGCTTCTTTTTAGGGGTGGTGTACCATAACTATAGGAATCTAATATCTAATTCTCTTAAATGGCCCATTAGTCTGATATGCAAAAATAACTTGGTAAAACTTCACCTTAAGCACCTAAAGTTATTTTAAATTCTTGATTAAACCCTTAGATTTAATGAGAAAGAGCGATACAAAACGAGGGGAATGATTATGGTCTCATACAATAAGGCTATAACCACACAAATTGTAAAATATTATGTTTAAAAATATTAATTCTATTTATTAATTAATAAATTGAAATCAGATAACAAACTAATATTTCCAAATACTATGGCTAATTGTTTAAAAAAATTTAAATTTATGTGACCTTGCTAATTAGGGGTGGGCAAAAATCGGTTTCAATTAAAACCAAAACCGGTTTTAAAATAACCAAAAAAAATTTTCTTCAATTTTGAAAATCAAAACCGAATCAAAATTTTCACAAATTGATCGGTTCAGTTACCAATAAAATCGGTTCAGTTTTGGTTTTTGGTAAATAAATATTAATCAATTATTTTTCTAATAATAGATTATATTTTATCACATATTTTATCATATTTTGTCATATTTTATCATATTTATCTTATTTTCGATTTTTAGAAGGCTTAATTTTGGTTTTTAATTTTTAAAAGATTCAATCAAAATTGAACCAAAACATATTCAGTTAATATTAAAATAAAAAAATTAAAATAAAAACCGTTAAAACCAAACCAAATTCATTTTTTTGATTCGATTTTCAAATAACCCGTCGGTTCGGTTTCAAATGCTCAGCCTTATTGCTAATATTGTGTGTAACGATAACCACACTGTATAAAGAGGGAGAAGGGATTCCCCTATTTTTATAAATTTTGTTCAATAAGGATCAGTACTTTATTTCTTCGCCTTTTTCCTCTTTGGGAAAAAAAAATGAGAAATCACGCAGAGAATTAGGGTAATTACTATATTTATGAAGGGAAGAAGAAAGGAGAAAGGACCTACCAAACCAAAATGCTGAAGCTGGCCCTACCTCCTTTTCTATGGATTTCTAATTCAATTCCATTGCTCACCCTTTGCCTTCCCATGCCTATATATACCTGCATAGCTTCACACAATCGTCTTCCAATATAGCATCCATACAAGTCATCCTCTAACAGTTTCCATATATTTTTTGATGAACTAACAGTTTCCATATTCATATTCAATCCACTGCATCTTTTACATTTCCAATTCTGCTCTGAAAAATAAAATTTTCCCCGAAAATCTCTTTCTATATCCAATTAGTGTTTCATAAAAACCAAGATCAATTTTGCAGATTTTAGCCTTTGATTTAGTTGTATCTTTGAAGATCATCGTTTTCAAAAGTGTATAAATCTCTGATTTTGTGAAGTGAACTTTCATCTTTGCTTTGTTCTTCTCTGTGTTTTTGCATTCTTTGCCTCTCTGTTGTTGCCCTGTTTTTCATCACTGCTTTCATGGCTCCCCCGAACGATCCTACTAACTCTGTCCTCAACGTTATCGGATCAACTAGTGTTGAGAAGTGTTTTGATCTGTCCGACGGGAAGTTTTGTGTGAAAGGCTTTGCCTTGTTGTCGGATGTTCCGATCAATGTCACTTTCTCATCCTTCCTGTCTGTCTGTAAATCCTCCGACGCCCCACTTCCCCTGCTCCAACGAGTCCAATCTCAGTGTCACAGAGGTGGGTTTCTGGGATTCACCAAAGACACACCATCTGATAGGATCATGAACTCTTTGGGTAGATTCACAGATAGAAACTTTCTGAGCATCTTTAGGTTCAAAACATGGTGGTCTACACAATGGGTGGGAAAATCCGGTTCTGATTTGCAGATGGAAACCCAATGGGTAGTCCTAGATGTCCCTGAAATCAAATCCTATGTCATAATCATCCCTATAATTGAAGGTGGGTTTAGGTCTGCTCTTCAACCTGGAGAAAACGGCCATGTCATGATCTGTGCCGAAAGTGGCTCGAGCCGTGTTACTTCGTCCTGCTTTGAATCCATAGCATATGTTCATGTTTCTGATAACCCTTTCAATTTGATGAAAGAGGCGTTCAGTGCTGTTAGGGTTCATCTGAACACCTTCAAGCTTTTGGAAGAGAAGAATCTTCCTTCTCTTGTTAATAAATTTGGGTGGTGCACTTGGGATGCGTTTTATTTGACCGTAGAGCCTGCTGGTGTGTGGCAGGGAGTGAAGGAGTTTACGGATGGTGGTGTTGCTCCGAGGTTTGTCATCATCGACGATGGCTGGCAGAGCATCAATCGTGATGACGAGGACCCGAATGAGGACTGCAAGAACCTTGTTCTGGGTGGGGAGCAGATGACCGCAAGGCTTCACCGGCTCGACGAGGGTGAGAAATTCAGGAAATATAGAGGAGGGTCGTTCCTAAGTTCTGATGCTCCGCCGTTCAATCCCCAGAAGCCGAAGATTCTGATCAACAAGGCAATTGAACTTGAACACACCGTGAGGGACCTCAACAAAGCGATCAAATCAGGGGCAACAGATATTTCTGGCTTCGAATTGAAAATTTGTAAGCTGAAACAAGAACTGGATGAGACGTTCGGGAAAGAAGAAAGCACCAAACTTTCCATTGGAGAATGCGGAAGTTGTTCCTGCAAGGCAGATAACTCCGGTCTGAATGCCTTTACTAAGGATTTGAGGACCAAGTTCAAAGGTTTGGATGATATCTGGGTGTGGCACGCCCTCTGCGGTGCTTGGGGCGGCATTAGGCCTGGAACAACCCATCTGAACACCAAAGTTGTCCCTTGCAATGTCTCTCCTGGCCTTAGGGGAACGATGCCAGATCTTGCTGTCGATGAAATTGTTAAAGCCGGGCTCGGCCTTGTCCACCCTAATCAAGCAGGAGATTTCTATGATTCTATGCATTCGCACCTTGCCAAATCTGGTATTACAGGTGTTAAAGTGGATGTCATTCATGTAAGTATGATTTCATATTTCTATTATACATATCATC